CTGTCAGTCATCAAATTCACAAACTAGGAACTTGCTGTAAACATAAGTTAAATAGATAAACTGAATAAATAGACTCTGGTATTAAATACAAACTATACAGTAGGGCAGAGCATTAGTGCCAAAGTGTTGGTGCTAAAAGTGACAGTGACTGGTGTCATAACATGACAAGTGTTACAGAGTGTCCATGAGTTCAACAGCAGAGGAGAAGAAACAGTTCTTGTGGCGAGAGTTTGTGGTCCAAATGGACAGTGGCCTCCTGCCTAAGGGAGTGACTCAGATAGTCCATGTCCAGGGTGAGGCTGTGATCAGCTGTGATCCAACCTGCTTGACCCCAAGTCCTGGAGAAGTACTGGTCCTGGAGAGATGGAGGCTGCAGCCGATCACCTTCTCAGCAGAGCGCACTGCAGTCTGTGTATGTGATGGAGGAGGTGAGGATGGGCTCTGTGATAGCCATGTAAAACTGCATTTTCTAGGTTGGAGCTTGACTTTCCTCAGCTGGCACACAAAGTACTGGAGCATATGGTGGGCTCCTGCTTGAGCTCCTGGGTGATGGTGGTGCAGAGATAGTAAAAGGCTCCTTGCTGGTGATGAGGGTGTCAGTCAGGGCAAAGAAGGGATGGGGAGACATTTGCATGAGAAAAAACTGAAATACGAAGTGCTAAACTAATACAAGAATCCCATACAGCTCCAGGAGCATTTACATTTGTGGAAAAAATTAATATGAACTGATAAGCTAATGCAAGAATCCCATATATTTCAGAACTAGTTTATAGCTGTCCCCCCCCCCCCCCCCCCAAAAAAAAAAAACAAACCTGAAATTACTGCCTTGATAATTGCACCAACTCAAGTTACTATTTTAATTTGATTGCAATATATTGTGCAGCCCTAATAAATAGGCAATCAAAATGTTTACCCAGAGGAATAGTTGAACGAATTGGACATTCGACTTTCCATATTATAATGATGCCAAAACCTTTGCATAAACCCACCAGCATAATGATGGAGGACAACTGGCAAAAGACAGACCAGAGCCACATAACTGACCCAGCAGGACACTGACCTCACCCCCTCTGCCCCTGAAAGTTATCCTCCACCTCCAAAGTCTTCACAAACTCTGTCCTAATCCGACTTGGACATAATCCCTTCATTCCTCAGTGTTTATCTGCCCATAGTACATTCCCACTGGTTTCTCAAGTTCCCTCCAGGCACCTCCGCCTTCATCCCACCCTCTGAACGCTTCAAGTGAGCAATTCAAAGCAAAAGAGTGGAGATGGAGCCAAGCCAAGAGACCTGGACTAATATGGTCAGGAATCAAGACTCAGAGTAGAGTAGGAGATGTATGTTGTTTACTTAAGCCTTTTTTTTCCAGGTCTTTTCAGGACTAACCTTTTCAATATAGGCCAAACATATTTTTACATTATATCTAAGCCCTATTTTCATCTTTACTATGGGTTTGAAAATGCAAAACAGCACTTTGAATTTCATTTTAATTGAACAACCTTTCTATATTGAACAGTCACTGTGTAACTCAAATTTCAGAAACTTCAGACGGTCAAATCTCAAATCAAATATTCCCATAGTTAAGCAACTGAAGACACATTAACACATTATCACTGGTTGTGAGGTTGTTAAATAAATTCCAGGAACTTTTAAATTTTACACTCTTGTGATATTAAAATTACAAGTGTGCTCTGTCAAGGGTCTCAGAGACTGACATAAATCATTTGGAGAAATTTCACAGATGTAAAATAACCAGTGACTGATCACTACCATATATACAGTCAGAAACCATGTTCAAAAATAGGGGTGTGTTTGGTAAACAGTTGTCAATGTTGGATCTCTTTCCCACTGTACAACACCCAATGTTCATCTGGTTTTTGGACTCCATATGGGCATTTCCCAAACAGTGGCTTGGGATTTAAATATGGATAGTGTGAGAAAGTCTGTCATATAAAATTACCGTGGTCGCCTGTAGGGGTGGGTAACAGGACCCAGAAAACATACAAATACACAAATACACAAATACACATCACTGTTTTTAAGGAACTAGATCACACATTTGTGTTTCATCTTGATTTATGCAGTCAGTATATTTTTACATTATGGCAACTCAAGTCCTCTGCAGCTTCTCAGAGTTCCCACTTCATGGTGATTGGTTAAATCTATCTGTCCTCACTCAGAGCATGGAGAAAGCCATGATCACACTCCACCCATATATGGAGTAGTGTTAGAAGTGTTAATACATTGAACTGTATTAAACAGAAAAGCAATGAATCAGAATGTGACAATTTCTTCAAAATAGCAGGTCATCTGTGATAAAATGTTTTCACATCATACAGCCTAGCCATACAGCCAACCATGTTAAGTTACTATAACTATCCAAAGTTAGAAAGAAAACCAACATGACTAAATGTTTACATGGGATTTATGAACATGTAGTAATAGTTGATGAAGTGATACATTTAAACATGCATGCATATATGTAAGATATGTTACAAATAATTACATCCCAGCCGTTCTCAGAAAGTCTCATAAGCAATAAACTCACACATCAAACTTTTCTAATCCCACAATATTTTGAGTGTCACTCCCAAACAGTTTCTCCCAAAAACCACAGAGGACACTAACTGGGACATGCTGGGTCACGACTGCACCCTCTCCAGAGTCCAGACCTCGAGATTCCCTAGAAGAGGAAGGAAGAGGGAGCCTTCCTGGGACGTCCCATTGAGCGGATGGTTATCGACTTCAATTCAAAGCAAACAAAAAGAGAAAAGTTGTGCTGTTTGGATAAGCCCAGTGTCAAGCTGCTTCAGGGGGCTACATGTGAGGAGTAAGAGAAGCTATAGTGCTACAATAACAACATGGAATCAGTACCAGAATAGAGAGACATACTCGGACAAAGTACTAACATAACAAAAAGTATTACAGTGAAAGTGTTGTCGTGATATGAATAAATGCTTTTACTACTCAGGCCTTTTTAAAGTTATTCATGAAAGGTCTAATTTTGTCTGTGATATTTTTACAGTATTGATATTTATATAAAAGTGTTGTCATTCATTTATTTGTATTCTAGATTTAGCAGTAGTAGGTATCGGCCTATAGACATGCTCTTTTGCACTAATATTTTGCATTGCTTGTTTGACTAACTTTCATGTCAGACTTTTAGGACATCAAAAGAGTAATGACGTCACCAAGAGTTCACACTAGGCTTTTAAGTCTTTTCAGCTCAGAGACCTTGAAATGCTAGAGGTGCTAAAAATGACTAGATCACTTTTGCATTTAAATCTGATAAACAATATGCTAGATACAATAAGAGAAGCTGATAACTGAGTATCTATTATTCACTGTAGTCTTAAAGGCATTGCATGTGTATTTTACTCATCTTAAAAACATCAAAAACAGAACTAGTTCAGTTTTAACTTTCTGAAGCCAGAGTGGGTTTTTTTCCATGATGGTAAAGCTAACAAAACTGCATGCTAACAGTGCACTTCCTGATTATCATACAATGAAATGCTTTCTAAACAGATGCAGACAGTACACAGTGCATAAGCAAAACTTTGCTCAAATATGTGAAGAAATAGAGTAGAGGACTTTTTGAAATGAGCGTAAGGATATGGGGTGAGTTTTGGTTCGGTGGTGGGGGCATGTGGGTGGAAGTTTGTATGTAAAGTGGAGAGCATGTCCATGCATGTGCTGTCCGATGTCTATTTGTGATTCGTACAATGCAGCGAGACCACACAGTCCTTCTGGTATGTGGGATTTCCAGGTTGAAAATAGCTGTGCCGAGCGGTAAGAGCTAGCAGGGCAGGAATAGGCAGCCGGCAAGGGGGCAAGAGGGCAAGAGGAGGGGAAGAGGCAGAGTATCAGCATGAGCTCCAACACGAGAGGTGTGAAGTTACATCTAAAGAGTGTGGTGTGCCAAGGATTAGTCAACTTAGCTAATATACTAATTGGAGGTTTATATGCTTCATTTAACAACAGGTGAGTGCAAGATCATCAAGTTAAAATGTTGTTAGATATTGAATAGTATAAAAGAAAATTCTATATATCTAGATGTTAGTTGTTGTTTTAGTTTTTATATATGTTAAATAACGAATTTAGGCTACTAACTGACGATGAGTACACTCTTTCCAAAGAAAAGGGTGTACTGAGGAAAATAGTATGAGATGTGTTGACACATAAAAACAAAGCTATGACAGATGATCTATGTCTAATTAGGAAACAATCGTCATGAAGCAAGCATTTTACTATGGAATGCAACTTTATTTTTGTTTGATTGATCATGAATCATTACTCAACTTTTATACACACTGCAGCTTTGACTTGGCATGAATTTTAAACACATTAAACAACAGAATGACTGTAGCAGATGGAAGCGGCAATGGCACAGCCAATCTTGGACACTTAAATTACTGTAAACATCATAAAGCATATGTATATATTTTACAATGGGACATATCTAAACACAGCATTTGCTCCTGGTAGCTTTTGATCATTTGGAATCAAAAACAAGTCAAATATCCCCTGAAAGGCAATGTAACAGCTTTGCACTGTCAAATTATCCCATATTGCCTTCCTAAAATCTTATTGCAAGTCATAATAACAATCTTGATACAAAGAATGATGTGGGAAGGGTGTCTTATCAATCAGCCTAACGTTACGTAAAACTCAGATGCGAGAGCTCGCTTGGCGCACATATCCAGGTGCTGTCGTAACACGCAGTCCTGGAAAAACCTCTGCTATTACTCCAGGTCGTTCCCATGTGCAGCTCTTTAATAAACAGACCACTACAGTGTGAGCTTGGGGGTGCGCGCATATTTGAACCCTGCATCAGCGCCTCAATGAGTCACCTGTTGCGCCTTGCTGCTCCAAAGAACCGTGCGTAACGCTGAAAGAGCAAAGTTTCCAACACCGCGTTTGGTTTGAAGGCGTGAAGAGTTGGTGTATGTCAAGTGTGGTGAAAGCAAAGAAATGTTACGAAGCCTTTTCTGATAACTTACCGGCGTTCCCATGCTCCAACAGCGAAGTTAACAAGAGGAAAAACATAGGTCCTCGTACGGATAGCGAATAGCGCCGTGGCTCCATATTTCTCTATCCTTCGCACCAGTCTTCGCATTCAGCTGCTGTTTTAGTAAAGCTATCTCAGTTCATAAAGTCCCACGGATGGATACGGTAAGGTTTGTTTGTTTTCCACTCGCATGCGCCCCTGTCTCCTCTCCACACCGCGCCGCAGCTGGACAGTCACTGCGAAGACATCCATAGACACAGACCGTTGTATATACAGTGACAGGAAACCGGAGGAGGGAAGGAGAGAGAGAGGAGGACCCGAGCTCGCGCGCTCTCAGTTAGCTGGTTGGTTGTGTGTGTGTGTGTGTGTGTGTGTGTGTGTCTTCGTGACGCGATGGGGGCGTGTATTTTTAATGCGCACTTACTTCAGGGGTCTTGGCAGCTGCATGTGGGCAAAGAGAGAAAGCTATGGTTTAGAATGACAAATTTTGTGAAGATTGTATCAGTTAGTGGAAGTAGAAATTGAACAATATAGCTGCAGGGTTATTTAGAAGCAGTCAAATTTCAACTAAAACAAATAAGTATTCCTACTTAGTGTAGACCGATATGGGCTGTAATCAAATAGGAGATAACTATCTTGAATACGGGATTGTGTTGAAAAGCAAAACAGACTCAGATGGAAAACTAACATTATACTGCCGGCACATGGTTTATTGTATTGTATCAATGCCATTAAAGGTGCACTATGCAACTTTTCTTGTGGGGGTCCACTACCTGCTTGTCTACAGGAGGATGTTACTGATGTGCCTAGAATGTTCCACTTGTTGGGTTTTAATTAAATGTAATCTCCAGTCTGTCCAATCGAGCAGATGATGCCACCAGGGCAGTTTACTTGTCAGTCATCACAATATATCGAATTACAAGTCTCTGTGATTAAATTAAGAGTTATGGTGTAGCATTAGCTAAAAAAGACAGAAGGAACTACATAGACCATGATCCTTTGCTCCATTTCTGTGTAGACTGTAACAGAAATAACAGTTCTAAGCACTTTTATGTCTTAGTTCTTTGGATTAAGTCTTGTCAAGACATTTGAAGAGGAAAAAGTAGCATATGCAGTTTTATTAGTCTCCACAAAATATTGCAATAAATATCATACTGTGAGATGTATATTGTGAAAATATCGTACCTAAAGATTTGGATATTGTTACATCCCTAATCCTAAACCTCCCCATCATCATGTGAGTTTTCCCATGATATCGCAATAAATATCATACCATGAGGTTCATACCGTGTTGATATCGTATCGTGAGACTTGGATATCGTTACACCCCTACTACTCACCATAAGAATGCTTAATAAATGTCCAATAAGATCAATGCCACACTGTGAAACATTCTAAGCACAGTTATAAACATTCATGGAGACGTGGATCTTTTCACCAAAACGTTTCACAGTGTACCTTTAAAATCCCACAGTTAAAATGTTTTTCAAATTTTTCAACAGCACTAATTCTTACAGTGATGTCTGTACCAAACAGTATGTATGTATGTAAAACTGTAAAACAAATAGTCAAGATCATTGTATGGAAAAAAAGAAAAAAACATTTGCACATTTCCTTTTATAACCAACCCTAAAAGTCTCATCACGGCAAATGACAATATAATGGTACAAAACTCAGAATGGACTGTGTTTGAGAGGCATTATGTGGTGGTTTTGGGTTAGCCTCCAGGAAATGTGTGTTGGTCAGTGAGAAGTTCTCTTAAAGCACGGAAACACCACTAGCATGTGTGTGAGGGCCTCACAGTACTTCACAGCCAAAGTTAGGTCATTTGGATAGAAGGCATTTTAGGAATCGTACAGAATATTAATTTTGAAACTTACAGAGGGGAGTTTTTGATGACTGAAGAATGTATTCAAATGCAACTGTTGGAAATCAAACTGAGACTGTTACAATCATTTCTTGTAAAACGCTTCAGTAACTTCAGTCTAAAATAACTACACCTTGATTATCTTTAAGGGGACGTGGCAAAAGATCTGAAACTATTCATTATCTCTATGATCTGCACTCAAAATACTGCAACTGCATGTGAGTTCATTCAAATAGAAGAAGGTAGCTTAAACACAGGATTTACATTCAAAGCTCCAGCTAATCCACTCACTAACTTCTCTTTTCTGATGTTGTATGTATGTTGCATAATTCTTTATAATCTATAATAAGGTAATTTGATGACTAATATAAATTATAGACAACTAAGGCCCCAGCGACCCATTAATTGACTTAACAACGAAAGGCCTACAGCTCTAAACACTATTGCTCTCCTTAATGTCCTCACAGATATGCAGAGACATGGACTGGTGTCAGTGGTGTGTGCAATTACTTGTCCAAATGCAGTAATTCTCCACAGTAAACAGCTCTGTATTTATACAAACACAAACATCAGAGAGGAGGCTGCTGCTGCCAGCGCTGTACAGCAGAGCTTTCACACATTCATAAAGAGGAGACTTGGACACACGCACAAACAGCCTGTGTAATAGAACTGGCCCACATGCACCAGTTTACAGTAATACAGTATAATGACCTCATAGTATCAGGGCCAAGATGGACTGGACCTGCTTTGTATGGTTTGTTAAATGTTTGAAAAAAATGTTTACTGTACTACTGGGATGCATGACTGTAGTATGCCGCACATAGCAACCACGCACCACTGAGGTTGTGGGTTCAATTCCCCATCCCACTCAAAATTAATGCTGTCATGTTCTACTGTTCTTTTATTCTTTTGTTGTGAGAGTGACTGTGAGGTGGTAGTGTAGTCAGATTTAATAGGGAGGTTGGCAGTTCAAATCTGCCTCTAGTCAGTTTGAAACGGTTTGCTTTTGGGCAAGACACTTTGCACACCTTGCCTCTGTTAATATGGTATAATTTCCATTACATTCCACGCAGACCCCAAGAGAAGTTTGGCTGTGTGTAGGAAAAACCTGTCAGTATTGAAATCCAAATGTTGCTAAAGCCAGTATCATCATTGTTTCTAGGATCCAGCCCCTTATCATGTCATTACAGAAAACACTGGAAATTGATAATAGTTGAGTTGTTATCTGTTGAGATCCAGGAAACTGTATGGTAATTTATTATAAAACTAGCACACTAATAAAATTAGGTTAATTACAATGTTGGCTATTGTCATTATTCTTTGAATTACCTGAAATAAAAGTTCTGTATACACCATAGTGACAATACCTCTCTGTGTTTTCATTGTACTATGTCAACATATTAACCTTGGACATTTTGGATGGTGGAGGTGACGCAAATAACCAGGGCACTTGTCACAGCCTGTGTCAGGTCTGAGTGTTGAGTGACAGAGCTGGCAGGGTGCAGTGTGAACAGTAGTTTGGACAGCACTGATGTGGTGGTCACATGACCTAACAGGTCCAAACAAGCCACTGGAGCTGAACCAGAAAACATTTTTCAGTATCAATGTCAACTGCAGTTTATATACACAACAACAGCTAGAGGGGTGACAGTGGCTCAGTGGTTAAGACATTCATAGATCATTGTGAAGGTCGGAGGTTCGATTCCTGTTCAGATCAAATTCTATCATTGTGTCAGCTAGGCTACTAAAAATGTTACCTGACCAGGCAGAACCACATGCTTTGACAAAACTTTACAAAGAGGCTGTGAAGGCCAGGTAGATTAACCAATCACAGAGACACATGGTAACATGCCAGATATAAGAAATTATATATTTTGTTCTGAATGTTATGAGAATGTGTGTGAGAGATGTTGCAGAGTTACAATTTAGATACATTAGTTAAAACACATGTGACAACCCAAATATTTTTTTTAATAAAGGCATTTCCCCATCTCCCATGACAGTTACACTTACACTTCTATAAAAAAACACACATTTTCTGGATCAGGCCCTGGCCAAGAGGTTATTTGACTTGGATGAGCAACCCAGATTTTCTTGATTCTGTTGTTGCATGAGAGATGGTAACACGCTAAGTTCTGTGGTTGATTTTGTGAGGAAGTCATTGCCAGAGAATTTTCTAACCAGAGAAAGTTGCAGTTACGCCGGCTCTACAGGCTGTTAACAGACGAGCGGACGGATGTGCTGTGAGTGGTTCATTACACTACCCCAGGCCATGGGTATGTTTAACTACTGCACACTTCACTTCCTGTTTGTCAATCAATATTCTTGTTACTCATGTCATCGTTTGTAAGTCCTAGTGTTGAAACTCAATTAAGCGTAGATTTGTTGACGATAAGAATACTGATGTTGTGTCAGTTATAATGTATAAATATCTATGATGTGTCGAAACCATCAGTAGAGCATTGGCAGCTAAAAGCACTACACTACATAATGTACAATTCTTTACTGGTAACATGGGACTCATAAGGAACAGTAGAAGAATAAGGGTTGGTAGTTTGATCCGTGCTCCGTCCCCTTAGACAAGACACTTTACTTTGCTTCCTTGTATGATGATGATGATGGTTGAAGATGTGAGTGTACCAAATGTTACCATTTGAAATTTACTAATGACAAGAGCATTAGAGTAGTATTATATAGTATAGCACTTATAAACATATTTTCTATCCCGAAAGCTTTTAGTGCCCAGATGTAACTCCGGGTTTAGGAGGATGTGACCTCATATAATCACTGCAAGAACATGAAACTTAAATCAAAGAATCATTTGTTCTGGGTTTGTCTCTTTGTGCATGTGCATGATGCTTTGACTTATCTGAACTAATAAACATCAGATTAAGCGACACATTTGGTCTGAATGAAATACAGTGTTTTGGTTTGTGTTGCCTTTAATCTCCATGTATTTTCTTAGTCAATAGAGCTCTTGAGCGGTCTTGATGTTTTAGGTCTGTAATACAGATGTGCTTATTTCCTAACAAAATGTCTCATGCTTCACCTCTGCATGTATTATTACACATGCATAGAGGATATTAAAACATCTTCTAGTAAAAATGGCTTGCTGTCAGATGATTATGCAACATGGGAGGTACCACTAAAACTGTGAGAGCACATACTGTCTCAGCTACAGCCAGATGACAACAATTTTTAAACTAAGTTTTCCTTAGAAGTCAAAGACTTACTACATTTTGCTAAGGAAAGGGCTGTTACTGACAAATATGATTTTTATGTCATTGTGCAAGATTATAACAAAACAAACAAAAATAATGTACATGGAAAACAAACAGAAGGAAACTCTCCTACAGGCCAAATAAAAGTTTTATTTATGAGTTTTTCCACCTTTGGCATTGTCCTCATATTATA